CGTTCTCGATAATATTTATTGTAGTTACAATGTTTGGAATGTAGTAGGGAGAAATTGTTTATCTTCTCATTGTATATAAGAGATAACCACATCAATACACTCTCTTGTGTGTATGTGTATACATTACTTCCAGCTACTCTATTGTGTCTCTCTAAACATTCTCAACACTGACATTCTCAACACTGCTAATGCTTGAACCTTCTCCAAAACTCAGACTAGTAGGGAAAATGAATGGCTGGTTCTCAATTTGCAAGTTGCATAGTGTTGGCGGCGGAGGTGGTCAACGGGATCCAACTTTTACCCAAAAATATGGCGGAATCAGGACGAATTGGACAAGAAAAAACTGGCAATAGAAATGGCCCCCAGCAGTGGGCCTTGCGGCATCCCACTGCCTGGCTCCAACCTGGCCTACCACGGTAACCAGAGAATAATGAGGTTCAGCTGTTCATATCTCCAAAGACCGTCACTATTGCCTGCATCTCATGCAACCATTATTGTTTCTATTTAAAAAGGTTTTCCTCATTCAATCGCACGCGTGCATGCACATTATTCGTGTCAAACATCCATCGCAATTTTGGAATTTCCAGGTTCAGCGCACGCTACCAGACGGTTGCCTAAACACAGAGAACCAACATTTAAATACTGTCTACCATGTGCAAGCTTTTGTGATAATATCCTCATTAACCAGTCTGACTCATGTCTGATCGGTTGAAGAAAGCGAAGATTGGAGAGTTTCCGACAACCATTTGTGCATTACCTTACCGTGTTTCGACTTGTTCACTTGTAGGCTTGCCTTGTGTTGATACATCTTTCTACAAACTGATGTTATTTACAACTTCCATGCTCGTCACTTCGTTTCAAAGAAATAAAATCTCAGGATTCCGCGTTCTGAAATGAAACTTCTTAAGAAGTATCGTTTTGCTGTGAATGAGTTGTGGATGTGTTCAGTTTAGGTGGTGAGTCTACCAGTGTCTAGTTCGGATCGGTGGTGATAGAAGCTGAACCTTGGGACAAGCAGCGTACAAATAATCGCATTGTGTCATCTGCTCGTTCCAGATTGGTTCGTCGAGATTTTTTGCGCAGGACACCGAAGTTTTGAGTTCATAAAAAATGGTAGTTTTGTAGCATATTGTTGGGTCCACGCTAGTCCTAATGATTCCTCCGCCTGTGCCTGATGATGAGCATGTACGGCGGTGCAAGTGCCTGCCATGGGTGGTCAAAAAGCACTGCCGAAGTAAGAGATAATGAAAGATTGTGTGCGAGGGGTTTATACCCCCTCCCAGCTCGGAACACGTTCGCACATTTCATCATTCAGAGTTTTTAATACTGGTGTAAATTTTTTTAATACACAACATGCAATCATGTGGTTGCATATCCCCTATTTCACTTAATCAATCTAGTATCACCGAAGCACAATTCAACTACTCTCTCTCTCTCTTTAGATAGATAGATATAGATATATATATATATATATATATATTTTATAGGTAGGAGATAGACGGAATGAATTTGTTATAATGAAAGTTGGAACTAACTTATGAATTTCTTTTTCCATTTTTTTCCACACGAAGATGCACAAATTCATGAATTCGGAAAGATGCTTTCAATAGGACCAGCAGTAGATTTTTGTTGAGAGTTAACTTTAAGAAAGGGGTTGCTTATGGATTAGCAATTATTAGACAAAGAGAGTTAGTAGAAGAAAAATTATTAGAAATATACGAAATTAATAACAAAGTGCCACATTAGACAAAGAGAGTTAGTAGAAGAAAAATTATTAGAAATATACGAAATTAATAACAAAGTGCCACATGGAATCTATAAGTGGATTTTGCATGTTAGAGTTTGGTTAAGATAAAGTATTCTTTGTGGAAAATATTAATAAATGCACACAAAGCCAACTGAAGTTGCCTTTGGTCCTCTTTGAACTCCAATATTAGTAATTGTTAATATTTTTACTTACAATAAAATGGAATCTATCTCTATCATTGATTGCTTGTTTTATTATATTTTTTATAGTTCCAAATTGGTATTTTTAGAAGCTTTATTAGATAACATCTTTCTTGTTTATCCAAAATCTAGTCTTTCAAAATTATGAGAACCAAGAGAGTTATAGAAGAAAACATAATATATTATTGATAATACATGTTTATTCTTAATGTAAAAAATATAATTAATCATGGTGCATTACATATTATATATGCCAAAACTATTGCTACCAACTCCTTATAAAATCTTACTATGACGATGAAAGTTTTCCAAGTATTGGGATAAATAATAAATGACCTATAGCTACAAAATAAATAAAATAGATACTAATTAATTAGAAAAAATAATTTACTCAGAGTAAAGTGATGATACGTGGCTATAGCAGAATAGGTACCTTGCTAGCACATGATAATAAATGTTAAAAAATCCTAAAATATCTCAATAAATCCTAAATCCTTAACCTTAACTAATTGTTTATAAACAATTTTGTGTTTTCAGTTGTTTTTGGTGCGTGTGTTTTTTTAAACCCTAAACGCCCAACAATCGGTAGCCCGCGAGGAGGCTGCATCTGCAGACACAGGTGGGTGACCGATGAATGGGGTAAAAATATTAGCTACAAGCTGGGTGTCTGTTGTGCGAAATCGATGATAAATGTATTGGTGTTAGCATAAAGAATAAATTGGTTAATGTGCACATTCTGTGGAAAAAGCCTCTTTTGGCTCGATGGAAAGCGTTGACCAAACGGACACTTTTGTCCTTTCTATCTTAATATATGCGACTGGGCTTCCACATTCATATATAGAAAAAACCAGCGCACACTCCTCACACTTACGAACGCGCTTCTTATCCTCTCCCACTCATCCAGCCTATACGTGACGACCACCATTGCACCACCCCCCGCGCGGAAAAAGACCATCCACCGGGGGAGCCTTTTTTTTTTTAATGGTGTGTCTTCTCCGGGCTAGTGCCGAATCGGTGAAGAACTCCACGCCAACTTCTGTTTGACTTCGCAACCCACAGTTCCATTTCCCAGGGGGCAGGGGCAGGGTTGGCTCATCTTGAATAGTGTTGGATGCTCCAGTTGTCGTTTCGGTGATCATCTCGACGTTGCGACAAAGCTTGAACCGTTTCCGCTCCTTGACGCCCTGGAGGCAGTTTTGGGTACCAAAAGGTTTGGAAACTTGTACTTGGCAATGTGAAATGAATGCCATCTACCTTAGATCCACCGGAATGTCCTCGCATGGACACTGAGCCATGTGTGACGATATATCTCGCATGCAATTCATCTAGTACGGCCGTCGCTAATCAGGCGGTGCCTATCCTATTGACCACAGCGTCCTCACCACCCCACACCTCATCATCGATTGCGATACACCACTGCGACTATAAGCTGCTTCCCGAAGCCATGATCTCATTTCCTCACCTCCGGAGGATTTAATGCGTCGGTTTATAATACAGATTAAACATGATTAAAAATTCCTACCTGTAATGTATGCAATTTTATTTTTAAGAATGACTTCTATTGAACAGTTTTTTCAAACAGTCACTGATTTCAAAGCTCATGATGCGCTGAACAATTTATTGTGACGTTTGTGACGTTTACGGTAACTCTTCCATTAATGATTTTTTTTGCACCAATAACATGTATTTGTTTCCATCACTTTGAATCTTGTCTACATGTAAATTGTTTTTCTATTGTATTTAGAAGAAGACAATTTTAGAAGAAAAGTTTTGGTAGAATCCAAGACTTCTAGGCCCACTTGTCTTATCCTTACTCAATATGCTTCATATTCTTTATGTTCTTTTAACAAGTTATATGTTTTGATGGTTTTCATCTTAACATTCTCTCATTAACTTCTAAATTCTTTGTTGGACTTTTGTTCATCCATTTGCACAAACTTAAACATTGTAGTATAATCATTTATAATTTTACCAAACCACACAGGTCCATTTTTTAAACATAAAGACATCTTTTAAATCAGTATTTTTTAAGAATAATTATATTACATTTAAATATAATCAAACAAAATGCAAATTTTAGGGTATTGCTAATACCACTATAGTCTTACCTATTGCCACCACAACATGCAACCCACTCAACATATTTCTTTAGTTATTTTTTGTTCTAATAAAGAATTATGTTAAAATATTTATTTATTTCTAATATATATATACACACATACACATACACACAATAAGAATAGGTTGTATTGTCAACAACAAAAAACTATGGTAACAATTTTTGGTGCCACCAACCAAAATTGTGGTGGCATTTGCAACACCCAAATTTTAGGTACAAATATAATTATTTAAAAAAAATAAAAAATGATTGAATTAGTTTTCGAAATTGTATGCATTACACAGCGTAATGTATTCCATCAGATTTATGATGTTGTAATGAAAACCAGAATCAACACAATTTTTTTTTTTTTTTCATTTTGAAAAAATAGCAAAAAAATCTCACCAATTTTTATTTCAATTAAAGAATATAAAAATATGCTCTGCAGTCACATTCCCCAGTTGACCCTTACCATTAAAAGCCCTCCAGAACAGAAAATCGTACCGAAAAATGCAATGCACGTTCCCGAAGGCTGCGGCGGTGGGTTCAAGAGCAAGTGAGAACGCGGCTGAGGGTATCCACCATCGGGAACTTGTATAGAACCGCGTGGCGGTGAGGGACGTGGCGAAGGCAGCTCTTGGAAATGGCCGAGTAGGCGAGGCGGAGGAGGAGGCCACTCGGAGAAAGGAGGAGAGCCCTGCCCTGCCCCCAATCTTTCATTGCTCCTTTTCTTCCTTTTCGGTGAAACCCTGCAATCGTAGCTTGGTCGTTCACCCATTCAGGGCCAGGCTTTTCCCGAGGGGGGGGGGGGGGGACAGATGAGAGATGCCCCTCCCTGTGAGTGGGTCCTGCTTTCCTGTTTTCGACTGACTGCATGAGGAATTTCCCTGAAGTAAAACTCGCCTGTACTGATTCCGACGTGTGCGGTGTCCGAGAGAATATCTGGGTATAAAGTATGGAGGTCGAAAGAGGGTTGCTGTGTGGTTTGGTTGTGAGCTGAGTTTGCAATCGGCTTCGGTAACCAGCTCGGGAGAAGAGTGGGAGTGGAGTTGTCTGGAGTGTCTTCTCGTAGACGCTAGCTAAGCTTTGTTGATGAGCTCTGCAGTGATTAGAGCTTCAGGAGATGCTCTCTCTAAGTGTCACAATCACTGTTTGGGTTGGATAGTTCGCAGCACAATTGTGGAAATTCTTACAGTATGGATTTCTTGTGAAATCTAAACAGCGGGGAGAGAGAGGTGCACGTTAAACGAAATGGATACGACACTGGTTTTGCACGGGTTGGAGATTGTAGCTTTTATTTGTGTTTCCTTGACTCTCATTATGCAACTGTGGTCTAGAAACAACGAGCAGGCAAAAATTAACAAACGATTGCCTGGGGGCTCGTTCGGTTTGCCCCTTCTCGGAGAGACGCTGAAGTACATGGCTAGCATGAAGACATCTATGCCCACATTCATGGCGGAGCATCGGCAGAAGTACGGCGAGATGTTCAAGTCGAAACTGATGGGCGCCTTTTGCATTGTCACGACGAAATCAGACACGATCAAGTGGGTGTTGGCCCACGAAGGCAAGCAGTTCGTGACCGGGTATCCGAAATCCTTCCGTAAGGTGTTGGGAGAGTACACCGCACTGAGCCTCCACGGCGAGCAGTGGAAGAGTACTCGGAGGTTCCTGGTGAACAGCCTCCGTGTCGAGCTCCTGAAGGAGCGCATTCCGATGATTGAGCAAACAGTGTTGGAGAATCTGAACTCGTGGGCGATCAAAGGGTGTGTGAGCATTCGAGAGGAGACGAAGACACTGGCCTTCAATGTTGTAGCGCAGTACCTGCTCGGATCAAGGCTGAAATCGGGGCCCGTGAACGATTCCCTACGAAACGACTTCTATGTGTTGACGGAGGGCCTCTTCGCATTGCCAATCAATTTTCCCGGGACTAACTTCAGGAATGCTCTTGAGGCGCGCGCGCGCATCTTGAAAACACTGGAGGAAGACATCGTCAGCAAGCCGCGACCAGCTGGAGATGAAGATCAGTACGTCGATTACATGGACTACATGCGGAAAGAGAATTTGCCGGGAACTACGGATGAGTTGCTGCGCGAGAAGACAAGGTGTCACATCCTTGGGCTTCTGTTTGCTGGTCATGAGACAGCCGCAAGCGCGATGCTCTTTGCCGTAAAATATATCATGGATAATCCCCGCGTCTGGAATGAGCTTCGTGCAGAACATGACAACATTCAAGTGTCGAAATTCGAAGGGGGCAACCTGACTTGGGACGATTACAAGAACATGCGGTTCTCGCAATCAGTCATTACGGAGACGCTGAGGCTTGCAAATCCCGTCGCGCTGCTGTGGCGTGAAGCGACCGAAGACGTGCAATTGAACGGGTCTCTAATACCGAAGGGATGGAAGACGGTTTGCGCAATCCGAGAAGCGCACCACGATCCTGAGTTCTTCGACCATCCACATGAATTCAATCCGTGGCGCCATCAGCATGAAGTGCTGAATCCAGCTAAGAAACCGCCACTGTTAGCATTCGGAGGGGGCCCTCGGTATTGTCCCGGAGCTGAGCTAGCCCGTGCTGAACTCTGCATTTTTCTGCATCACCTTGTGACGAAGTTCGACTTGAAGGCCTGCGAGACGGAAATTGTGTCCTTTTTCCCAGTCCCTATGTTCAGCAATGGACTTCAAGTGCGAGTGCAGGAGCGCGACCCTGCAACGAAATGCTCCCAAAAAATCATGGCTTATTAAGTCGCCTTCACTTCATCCGCAGTGTTGTGATCCGTGGATTATCTTTTGTTGTACAGACCATTACTAGACAACTGCCGCAAGGCATGAAGAAAATCTGAAACAAGGTCAGTAGCAGAAACTCAGAAAAGATAATTTATTCAAGCATAGAGTGTAACAATACCAATACCCAGGAAATTGTTCCGGACATTCCTTTTTGAGGCAGACACAGACAAATAGACGGACAAATCAGACACGAATATGAAGACCTCAGACCAGCCTATAAAGCCAACATCACCATTCGCAGGTTCTGAAGAGCAATTTCAAACACATGGGGGGGACAGTAATAGTTAGAGCGATAGGATGTGGGTTCAAAGGTCACGGTTCGGAGAGTTTTGGTGCACTGGTGTAGTTGAGATTGGGACCTAATCGTCAAATGGCCTTTGCTCACGGCCAAGCGCTTGCAACGAGTCTGACATGTATGATACACTCTTGAATGAAACAAAGACAATTCATGAAGTTGTTTATCCTCTGTTGAGTTGTTGCGCGCGCTCTGTTTTCTTCTTTGCACAAACTTATTCTGCAATGTTACGATATGAAGTTGCTATACGCTTCACCCAGAAACTTCCTGAAGGGTGGTTGGGAGAATCTGGGTCCGGTAGAGTGTTCCCAAGCAACATTCTCCCAGAATGATCCAGGTCGTTTCAGAGATGCACCGTTGTGGAGGCAAACCAGTCGCTCTTGTGTTGCTTGGTTGTCACGAGGCCAACCAGGATTAATTGCTTGTTCCCGCTGACTCCTCGCGTATCCATGTTAAGTTTTTGAAGAATTCGGACTCGATGAGTTGTGTCGTTGCATTCCACTCAAGTCAAAATCAGCCCATCCTGAGCATGCTTGTGATCTCCATTGACTGCTAATTTCCAAATGGTGAATCAATTAGGTGCAACTGAAAATTTCAATTATTGTTCCAATAATTACTATTTCAAAATTTACAAATCTACATATTAAGCATTGAATTCACTATTTTCTGGGTCAAGGATGCACAAAAAAACAATTTCTATGCTAGAAGGAATTGGTTGGTTGGTAGCACATCATCTTATTACAGTCCAAGTCCGCTTTGGATTGAAAATTTGAGATAAAATTATACTATCAAAACAAACTTACATTTTAAAATCATTACAATTAAAATTATAAATTAAAAAAGATATCATTAGTAGTTTTCAAATATTAATTGATTTTAGAATAAATTTTATATAATTTTTATTATAGTTAGAATAGTTGCAAATTAAAAATTGTAGTACAAGAAGTAATTTAATAAAAAAAATAAAAATGAAGTATCAGTATTAGTTGGTTAGAAGAGAAGAATAGATGAACAAGGTTCTATACAACAAAATTGGTCAATCACTTATTTTTTTGCAAAGCTATGTAAACAATTTACAACAATATACTATCCACATTGTAGTCTATAAAAAGAAGATTTAATACTCTAAAATAAAGCTATACTTAATGAGATTATAAAATTTATATGTCTTTGTATATTGTAGTGATCATAGAATAAGAAGGATCAAACTAAAAGAAATTATCTTCTCTTTATTGTAGAACTTCTTATTTACTTCCAAGTTATTATAGTGCATCTATTGTTATTGGTTTTTAAATTAAAAAAATTGAGGTCTTATTTTTAATCTGGCTCAATTATATATCATTTGTTCTATTTAGTATGTAATTATTAGATTCTATCAATTCAAAATACATAATAAAGGATATTAATGCCAATATGTATATTAATTTGGATAAATATTAGATTCAATTTAAATGGATAGTTATTTTTAAAATAATTAATTCTTAATTTTATATTTATTTTTATAAATATTTGACAATCTAATGTAGACTAAAAGAAGATTTAAACTACATCTCTATTAGCTTATTTTAATTTACTTTTAAATCTTATTAAAATTAAAATATTATATAATCATGGTTATTTTACTAATATTTTATTATTTATTTATTGTATATTATTTAGTATTATTAGTATATTTTGTAAGTCAAAAAGATTTATAGATGTAAACTTAGATAAAAATCTTTAATAAAATCAATCTATTATATTTTATTGATTTTACAATTAAAGATTTTAGTAAAAGTTAAAGAAGTATAGGTTTCTAATAGGTAATATTTTCAAATACAACAATAATTCTAAAACATAATATTTAAATTTTTAGGCATATTACAATAGTAGCATTAAAAATATATATTATCAAATCTATTTAATTTTTTTTTTCTTATAATAAATATTTTTAAGGCATTTTAAGAGAGGTTTTCTTAATATTTAAGTATAATATGAAGAAGTATCATAGATGTGTAGCAAATTCTAATCTTAAGTATTTTATTGAATCTTTTAAGATTTTTAACTATTTTTTTAACATACATATTATTTTACATATACTGAGAGGCCTTTAAAACCTTCTTGAAGATTTTATTTAGTTGTAAAACTTATATAGTTTTAAAACCCATATACAATATTTTATTTAAAAAAATAAAATAAAATAAAACATAATTATTTTATCATTCTTTAAGATATCATATTTTAAAAAAATATCATAAAAGCTAGTACAAGACTTGGTCTTTATAGTAGAAAGATAAAAAATAAGATAATAACTATCTTGATTTAATCAATGCAATTAATAGACAAATATAATATATTTTATCTAATTTTTTTTTATCTAGAGTTATTTCTAATTTTGTATATTTTTTTCTTATAGTTTTTAGATTTTTGACCTTTTGTCATTGATTTTTCAAAAAACATAAATTTCTAGTTTATTTATCCAAAATAATAGTTATTAAAAAATAATAAAAATTAGAATTTTTTTAAATAAATAAATATTTGTAAAAATAGAAAAAATATTATAGATATATATCTACAAAAGATTAACTTATATGTAAAATAATCTAATAAAAATGATTATAAAATTATAGCTATTTAGATTAGTAATATTTATTTATTCATGTATATATGAATTATAAGTTATGAAACTCAAAAATCAAAAAATATTAAAAATATAAAACTCAAAGATAAATTTTTGAATTTAAAATTAATCAAGGACTAATATGTAAAAATATATTATAATTTTATATCTTAATCCTTCAAATTAGAGCTTTATTTTTAAGTATTACATAAAAATATGATTAATAAAAATTATTTAGAAGTATTAAAGAACATAATATTTTATTTATTTGAGTTATTATTATTTTATTTTATTAATTTTAATAATTTATTATTTTATTACTTTAAATAGTTATATTTTAAAATCTTTATAGATAATTTCATATTGTTTTGTAATTTAGATTGGTGTAATAAGAAATTATTGCTATAATAGTTATTTACATATTTTGGTATTGTCTTCTCCAAGTAATTATCTCCTTATAAGATTTATTGGAGTGAAATTTTAGTTTTTTTATTCAATAAAAAAGTATTTAGACAAAAGTTTTACTTGATTGCATTTCATTTCAACTTACTAATATACAAAGATATATAGATATTACTTCTTAGTTGTTTATGTCAATTATCTTATGGAATTTATTAAGAGTGGTCGTGTCTAAGAATTTTTGAAGAATATGGCCTAATTTTACAATAATATAAATTTATTATATGCTGTTTCATTTCATCAAAAAAATAAATAAAAATAAAAATAAAATAATTTTTTTTAATTTTTTTTCAATTAGAATTTGAAATAAATAATTTTTTTTGACTAAATTATTATTGTGGTAGAAACATATCCAATTTTTATGTTAGAAAATTAAAAGGCCTTGTTGTAGCAAGATAATCTAATATTATAGAATTTAATATTTTGAATATGGATTTTAGATTTAGAAGATTCAAATCTTTATATTGTGTATAGTAGCATGTTATATGCTATTGTGTTATAACACAAATATATGGTAAAAGAGAGAAATATGGATTCTCTTATAGAAGAGTCTAATTAAAAAATATAATAACAAAACATAAGTATATGATAGAAAGGTAGTAAAAACATTTAGACTATAGAAAAAAAAGTGTAAATCCTATCTTTTTGAAAAATACTTTTATTTACTTTTTAAGGCTATAAATAAGGCAAAATAAAGTAGATTAAAAGAATTAATAATATAGGCATCTTTAAAAGGGAATTAAGAGTAGTTTGTAGCAAAATTTATTTTATGAAACCAAGAATTTACATCCAAAGAGGACTTGTTGTAAACTATGGTCAAAATCAAACCCCAAGGTACAAAACCATGCACCTATGGCGATTTTGAGATTATTTTGCTTATCAAAAAGTGAGGTTAGTAAGCAAACTTTAGAAGGGCTGTTAAAGCATTGATTTCAGTATTTTGGATAAATTTTTAGTTTTTAACAGTTTTCAAAGTTAGAAATATTTTTAATGGTTTTGAATTTTTTTTAAAAAAAAGAAGTTTACATGTTTAAAAAATTTGTAAGCATTATAGTGGATGGATACGTGAAATTTTGTTACTTTCTAAATGTACTTGTCTTAAATTTATTTGAATTTTTTAGATCAATCAAATAGTTAGATTGATTTTTAATTTTTTTTTATTGATTTAAAATCTTAGATATTTGATTTTTAGGATCAATGAGATCTTTAGTAATCTTGAGAAATTTGTTAGTTTGATTCAAGTAAAATTTTATAAGAGTATAGTGAGCTTAATTATCTATAATTTTTCTTATTCAAAAAGCAATTAAATGGTTCAACAAGGAATAATTGCTCCTAAAAGATTAACATCAAGGTTATAAAAAGAAGATAGTTGATATCTAAGAAAATCATGAGATCTTTTTTCTAGTTGATAAGTTTAGTTTATTTCAAACTTTGTATACTTGCTATATACTAAAAAATTGAAATACATGAAAAAAAAATAGTCAAGATTAAAGGTTTAATTAATAGTTAATAGAATTTTAAGATTGATTTAAGATTTTCTTAAGATTAATTTAGGATTTTATTAGAGTTTTTTAAAGATCTATTCAAGATTTTATTAGAATTTATTTAAGATTTGTTTAGAATTTATACGAATTTAGTTGGAATTTAATTAGAATTCATTTAAAATTTATATAAATTTTATTTCATTATGTTTTTAGAATTTTAAAATTATTTTTTTAGGATTTTTATTTTAATTATTTATATAAGATTTTTTTTGATATTTTTAAAGATCTATTTATAATTTTTTAATATTTATTTTTAGAATTTTAAAAATATTTTTTAAGAATTAATTAAAGTTTAATTATAATTATTAAAGTTTAATTAAAATTTATTTAAAATTATATTAGAATTATTATGACCTTTGGTATTGTAATTTTTAATTTATCTTCTACAATCAAGTGCTTGGTGCATTCTCAACCAAGATAATATATTATACATTATAAGTGTTAAATTATATACAATTGAGAGATCTCAAAATTTGCTTATTTTTATTTGGATTTGATTGACAAAGAAAATAAAAAGACTGAAGTTAGAGCATTTAGGAGATTATAAAATAAATCTTCAATCAAAGCTT